CGATAGAGGAGAAGGAGGAGGTCCCGATGGAGGAGGAGGAGGAGGTCCCGATTGAGGAGGAGGAGGAGGTCGTGATGGAGGAGGAGGAGGCGGAGGTCCCGATAGGAGGAGGAGGAAGGGGAGGTCCTGCCGATCGGACGCACTGTCTCAGGAGGACATCTGCCCAAATGTCCGACCGGACAGTCCCGGACGGTCATGGGGGGTCCGGACGTCCGATCGGGCAAGCTAGCGAATTCGTAAATTCCTAGCTGATGCAAAAAGAAACACAATTTTCGAAAAGAAAATCCGAAGTTCCGAGAGTCGTCAAGGGCTCAACAAGATTCAAAAAAGAAATTAAAAAAGAATGAAGCAAAATTCTCGCGCGATTCCCGCGCCTAAAATCCGACAACAGAACAGAAAAGAGGCGACGTCAACCATTATTAATTGCGCTTTGTCGGCGCGACAACCACTCAATCAATCATCCCGAGACCTGCCCGGCCCTGAACCCAGCCGTCCAAAAAGAAGCGACGCAAAAAGACGAAGAAGCGAGGACATCGATGTAATTTTCCTTCCGATCCCGATCTCTCGTAGTTGGCCCATCCTTCCCATCTTAGGACCCCTCATTGTTATCGCGCAGAAAATCGCGCAGAATAGAAAGTGGTTCGTCACATATGTGACGCCCAGGGGGTTCCAATCTTAAGCAAGCTCTTGCTTGCTTGAATCATGACACGTGTCGATCTCTCTAATCGATCGACACGCGGAGCTTTCTACGTGGCCACCAACCGTGCAAAATAGTGTGGAAGTCATTCAGGGTGGTACACGTGGCTCTATCCTACAATTTCCTCAGGATGGGCTTTCTTCAGTCCAAGGAGGGGATCGTGCGTGCTGTCGCCGTGGCACGTGCCAATCAACCATACATCAATGTCCTAAGGGAAGGGGAAAGGGAGGACGATACATGGGGGCATGGCAAGGGGGTGGGTTAGTCGGGAGTGGGGGTAGGAAGCGTTCCATCCCTGCGACTGTCTCCGGAAGCTCCTGATATCGGATGATCCGGTGGAAGTGAGGGAATCGATTACCACTATGACGGAGGGATGCGAGATAGTCGGGGTAACGGGTGGTGAAAGTACGGAAAAGCGCCGTGGGGAAGTGATCGTGGTTTTCGCATGCGGGGATAGTCCCCGTGATCACATAGTAAACCTCGACCATGTTGTGGCCTCGCCACGCGACACTGAAGAGAAGGGCGTGGAGACAGAAGATAGGGGTGGCACACCAGGTAGAAGGATGGGGATGAACCATGACAGCAAGACGGGTGGCGTAGAAGAAACAAAAGGTGTCGACTGGGAAGGGATTGCAGGGGAAGGTGATGCGGGTAGTGATCTGGCGGAGGGTTAGGTGGTCAAGGGGACAACGGGATAAGGACCAGGGACGAAGCCCGATGCCCCGCATCGGTACAAACTCGAACTGGTGGACGGGCTGAGGTGGAGGGGGAGGGGGATCGACTTCGTCGCCGTCTGGCCGGTGCGCTCGAAGTCTCGGCAGCAAGGTCCCCATCTTCTGGCTGGATCGTTCGAGATTGGTAGATCCGCCTCGCTTGCGTATTCCAGCTGCTGCTTACTGGCGACGATTTCTTCTCTCTTCCGCACCGCCTCGGGATCCTCCTCTGCACCTTTCGCCTCTTCTCCTAGGGTTTCCCACTCAGATTCCTCCTCTTCCTCCGACTCGTTCTTTTCTTCCTCCTCGTCGCTCTGCTCTTCCTCACTGTGTTCGCTGTAACTTCCTCCTTCTGGGGTTTCCTCCTCTTCTTCCTCGTCGCCTTCCTCTTCGTCCTCTTCCTCCTCCTCTTTTAGTGTTATCGCTTCGTCTTCGGAGGCCGTTTGAGGCTGAAAGAAGGCAAGGCCGATTATCCCCCGGGGATCCAGATATGGTTGTTGCGATGGCGGGTTGTTGTTGCCCATAACTCCTCGAGGCAAGCCGACCACTGCAGGTAGTGTGTCAGAGTTTGTGAAGAGACGTGCGGGACCGGGCTCTCGTCGCTCTGCGAGATGATATCGAGAGGGAGATCGTCAACCAGCTGCGCGAGGGGAATCGTGAGTTCCTGTACGATCTGTTGTCGATGGCCGGGACGCACCGATCCGAACAAAAATCCGAGAAGGTCTCCTTCCACCTCCGTCCTCCACGCTTGGATAATTAACAGCTCCACGTATACGACCCAAGCGAGGTGCTCTACGTCCCTTGTGCACGTCAGCTGCACCGCGACCAAATACACCGAAAGATCGACGAAGTGCTCACACCACAGTTCCCACTGTCTTCGGTCGAGGAGGGGGACAACAAGTGGTTCCAGATGAAAAGAGAGTCGGGGGCAAAGGTCGGACTGCCAGAAGGTAGGGAAGAGAGAGGGGAGAGCGAAGGTAGAGAGCTGGGATCGGTTCATTGAGGACGCTGGAAGGGGACGAGCTCAGGAAGCACCACCGCGGGGTCGTGTCGAGATGTCCGGAGTCCTCCGACTTCGATGTCGTCCGCGGGGATTAGATTATAGCCACGGCGCGCAAGCCACTGACTCCACTCTGCTGCCAACTGCTGACCCCACTCCCTTAGCGACGTCCGGATGACCGTGTGTCGCAGAGGGCTGATCGCGCTAATGTCACCGCTGAAGATGACGAGGTGGACACGTGGCTAACTCCTGGTGCTGATAGCCGTCGAACCGCCGTCGCCTCAGCCAGTACGATCGCCTGGCGATGGCCGGTGAATCGGTACTTTGTCGCTGCGTATACCCCGGTAGTGCTGAAGAACTGCGCGAGCCGTAGGAGGTCTAGACTGAATCGCGGATGATGAACTTGCCGAATTACCGAGATGTCGCCACGTGGCGCCAACATGTGATCGCCGAGAGCCCGCTGAGTGAGAAAACTTATGGCGATGGCGATGAGGACGGAGCAAGAGAAGCAGGAGGGGATGAGAGCGATAAGAAGTCGTCTTCTTCTTCCGTAGCGAAGGAGGAAGCAGACAGAGCCGGAGATGGAGAGGATGGGAGAGGACATAGATAGGACACGTGGCGTACGATCGGTCGAGTCGATCGGCTTCCCTAGACCTCCGGCACAAGGCGCACGGTGTTCACTCCGTTCGGGCCGAGTTCGATCACCCGAAATCGCCCGAAGAATCATGGCGCTATCTTCCCTTGGCGAGCACATTTCCTCACCTGCACCAGGTCCCCTAATTTATACTGGGGCCGTGGTCCTGCGTTCCAATTTCGGGCCTCGTAGCTACGGACCTGTCGGCCGTGGGCCAACTCAGTCATTTTCTGGCGCTTTCGGGCTAATCGGGAAAGGGACCGTTCCATCAGCTCCGTGTGTCGTTTGGCCTTGTCCTGAACCGTGGCTCTTGTGGGCCACCGGTTCAACGAAGATTCATCGGGGAGGCTCGGTATAGAGACACAAGCTATGCTATTGGTTCGTAATTGGAAGGGGCTAAGGCCCGTCGATTCATGAGGCGTTCCCCGATGGACCACTAGGATGTGATCTACGATATCGGGCCAGGGCCTCGGATCCCGTGCCACGATGTTTCGTCGCAGTGCTGTCTTTATCACCCGATTTGAGTTTTCTACTAGGCCATTAGATTGCAACATGTGGGGTGCAGTATTCCGAATGGCGACACCATGTACGGCCAGATTCCTTAAGACTTCCCCTCAGAATTATACCCCATTGTCGGTCAGGATTGCCTCTGTGTCCTGGTGCATCCCTAAAAACCGATTGACATATCGCGCAATTTCAGCCGCCTGTCGTGTACAACACGGATATGCCTCTATCCATTTTGAAAAGTGGTCTACAAACACCAGGTGGATTGAATACTCGCAGCTATTCGGTCCAGGGGGCACCACAATATCGGTAGTATCCATGCTAACCCTCTGAAATGGTCGTTCAACTACCGTCGATACTATTGATCTTGGCGGTTGGATCGACGCCTTGTCAGCAATGCAGACCTGGCAATCAGAGACGATGAATTTCACATCATCGCGAATATTGGACCAATACCACTCGTTCTTGTCGATTGCCGCTTCCGTGATCCGTACGGCAAAATGGGCTGCCGTTTCCTCATGCGCCGTCTTAACCCAGTCAAACCTCATGAACGGGTGCGACACTACCATCCAAATCCCGCTACCATCCATCTTCCGTTTTTTTAACCGGCCCTCGTTCCATAGATAATCCCGAACTCTTTCATTGGCCCTCCTCCGATCCTCCTTAGTGAAGTCCTGGAGGGGGTTTCCTACCAAGGTGGCAATTAGAGCGATGTCTGTCCATACCTTGGCCCTTCTAAACTTCCGGGTCTTTTCCAATCCTTCTGACGTAGCATCAAGAAATCGAGCTTCAGTCGGGATCTTATCAGTCCGACACAAGGGACACAACCAAGGCTTATCGCCATTTCTGTACTGGATGCATGAGCCATGGGCTCGTGTGACACACTGTCGACAATCTACCCATTCCGCATACCTTTCCCCACTAGGACGCATTGAGATCGAGTAGACGCGCGAGATCGCTTCACAAAAAGAACAAAATTTGTCGGACAGGGAGAGAAAAGATGAGGATGAGAGGGGAGAGAGAGGAGTTGTAGGACTACCTCTGTCACCCATTGCCAATCGCCTGCTTCTTGCCACGTGGAAGGACTGCCACTTATCCGTACTTGGGTCCGTTTGTTGACTCCGGTTCCTTCCACAGAATGATTTCTTCGCCCTTCGGTACCTTAGCGGGGTGATGCAGACGTGTCAACCCGTCCGCGTTGCCGTGCCTCTCTGTCTTTCGGTGGGTGATGTCGAAATCGTATTCCAATAGGCGCACAGCCCACCGTCCGATCATACCCGTGTAATTAATGAGCTTTTTGAGAGCCAGTAATGGCTCGTGATCGGTTACAAGGAGGAACTTTTGTCCGTATAAGTTCGGATGGAGGTGCTAAATTCCCCAGACTACAGCATAGCATTCACCTTGCGGGGCTGAGTCGTTCCTTCGTTCGTCTGACACCGTTCGAGATGCGTATTCGATGACATGTTCTCGACCGTCGTTCCCCTTCTGCGCTACAATAGCGGAAATCGCCTCTGGCTGCCAGTCCGTTATGAGAATGAACTGCTTCGTGGGGTCCACCGGATCAAAATAGGTGGTGTCGCCAGAGCGCCTTTGAGGGTGGCGAAGGCGTGTTCGCACTCTGCGTCCCAACTAAGGGGCTGGTCCTTTCGTAGCAGATTCGTCAGTGATCGCGCAATCATAGCGAAGCCTTTGATAAAACGTTGGTAGTACGATGCCAGTCCCTGGGAAGCTCGAACCTGCGTCACTGACGTGGGGACAGGAACATCTTTCACCGCCGAGAATTTCCTTGAATCTGGTCGCAGTCCTCCACGTGTCTCCATGTAACCCAAGAACGAGATTTCCGAGAGAAAAAACTCGCTCTTCTCGAGCGCGATCTTGAACCCAGCGTCTCTCAGAGTTCCTAGCGTCCACTCGATGTGCTATGCATGTCCGTGATAGGTCTCCGAGTAGACGAGGATGTCATCCATCTACACGATGACGCAGAAGTTAATCATCCCCCGAGTGAGCCGCGTCTTGTTGACGAAATTCTAGAATGTCACATTCATAGCTCGTTGAAATATGGCAGGCGCGTTGCGAATCCCCATCGGACATCGAACCCACTGCCACGTGCCTTCAAACAATACAAAGGCCGTTTTCTTCCTCCTTAACCAGGATATGATGAAAGTCGTGGCGAATATCAAATTTACTAAAATAATTAGCACACCCAATCGCATCCAGCAAATCATCAATCCTGGGAAGGGGGTACACATCTTTGATCGTGATGTCATTCAGTTTGCGATAATCAATGCATATGCTAATCGATCCATTCTTTTTCGGCACCAATATTACCGGGAACGACCATGGCCCAGTGGCGGGTTCGATCCATCCATTAGCTTCAAATTCTCGAATCCGCTCGAGGGCCGTTTTTCGTTCTACCAGGGAGTATTTGTAGGGCTTACAGTGAATCGGGGGATGGTTTCCAATTTGAATCTCGTGCTGTATCACTAACGACAGCCCGATGTCTGTGTCCGTCAGGCTAATCGCTTCTTTGTACTCTTTTAGGATTTTCGCGATTAGGTGATGGATCTCATCCGGGTACGAAGGGTCAATCTCATCGGTATAATGTAAGGTTTTCCTCCTGTATTTCGGAGGACGATCGATCGTCTCTCGAAATCCAGATTAGCTCTCAGGGGCACAAGAGCGGGAAGGCTGAAAAGAACGCCTTAAGTGTTTACGTCTAAGACCACGACATCTCCCAATGCATGTACCTTCCCTAATCGAAAAGCAACATTGGTCATCCGTCCCACCGTTTTGATCTTCTCTTAATCTGCTGACACGAGCTGATTTTTTTTCCGTAAGTATGATTAGATCGTTCTTTCTCCCTGCTCTTTCAACTACCCGTAACGAGATAGCCAAAACAACGGCTCTTGAATAGATAATAGCATTGTATGGGATTCCCCATATCTCGATATTGCATTCGGCGGATTTCCATAGGATCGGTTTAATCCATAGGAAGTGATCATCTTTCTGGATTAATCCCAACCATATTGGTTCCGAAGCTCCGACGACTTTTTCATCTTGTGCTGGACTTTTTGCTTTCGTGTTCATTGTTCGGGCGAGGGCGAATCGTTTTCGATTGGCCTTGCAATGTTGCAACATTCGTTTGTTGGCTTGTTTCAATATCGAAAGCAAATGACCGATCGGAAGGGGAATCCGATGGTCCAAGGCTTGAACGATGTTTAAAACATCGATCTCCCCAGTGACGAAAGTGGGTCCTCCCGATTCCATTTCTCCTGGAGAAGGTCGCCATTCCGCCACTTCTCTTTGTTCTAGCGCGGGTCTAATCGTTCCAATCATCCCAAGCCCTGGGTAGCTGAGCGTTACATACCGATCTAACGGAATTAGTTCAACAGCTTCCTCCATCGTAGCTAATGTGCTTCCGCCTCCTTCCATTTCTTCCATCAATGCCCCTACTCGTCCGGGTCCATTAGCGATCGCGGCCGCTGCTGCTGGTGCGGCTCCGACTTGTTGCTGCGGGGGTTGATGAGGGCAATCTCGGGCTATATGCCCTGGTTGGTGACACGTGTAACAAACGTTCAGATTGCTCAGGATCCCTGCGGGAGGGGGTGCCGGAGCCAATCCGTGTTGAATCGGGGCGGCATTGCACCGCTATCGGACGCATCGACCTCATCATCGCCTCTATTCGAGCGTTGTGTTCCCATTGTTCCTTTTGCTCTCCTGAATCAGAGTAACCAATGTCTTGGTTAGTTCTAATAGGGCGTAAGACTCATTCGGTCGTGAGGGGGTTTCGACCGGTAGCGGGGGTGCTGTCATCACGGGCATGCGCACGCTCGTAATCACACTCGGGATGGGTTGTTTGGGACTAATCTGTTCTAGATAGGTGACAGGGCCTGACACAAACCCCATGTTTTCGAATTTGTTCTGCAGTGCAGCCAACTCAGCTTTAGCTCTTGCTAGTTCGGACAAGTCTCCTTCCCTAGGATAATCTTCCCCTTCTAGGAAACTCGCAGCGAACTTTCATTCCATTTCTTCCGTAGCTGCCATGATCTTTTGTAGCGCGTGGTTGATGGGGGAGAACTGTTTTCGCAGTTTCACCCTCATCGTTCGGCTGCGAAGTCCATCGATGAACAAATCTCTGCCTACCTGTTCGCCTCGTTCCGTTTTCACAAACATCCTATAAAATCGGTTTCGATACTCGGTAACAAATTCGAGGGGTTTTTGAACTCGATCTTTGATCATAAAGAGAGCTTGTTTGGGGTGGATGTAATCGAATCGGTTCAGGAAATCTCGCTAAAATGTCGGGAGATCGACCCATACATAGGTGCTAAACCAGTGATGGGCATCTCCTCCGAGTCGTGCATGGATGTTCACCTGTACCTCGTTATCGTCATACTGCTGAGCCCGGAGCGTGGCTAGCCATGCTCCAGCGAGATGATGTGCAGGGCCGAATAGATAAAGGTCGGGTGGCGTCATAGGAGCCCGTGCTTGTGGTATGGGTGGATTGGGATTCTGCTGGGGATTCGGGTTCTGTTGGGGGTTTTGCTGATTAGCATTCATGTTGACCGTCCGTCGGGCCGCAGACCGACTTCTGGTGACGACGAGGTCACGTCGATGCGCGTTCCGCTGTCGAGGTCGTCCCCTGTTAGCCAGATCGCCCAACTAATCCTATAAAATTGGTAGTGATAACGACGAAGCTGGGGGATATGAAGTATTGCGTGTTGTCCATAGTGGGAAAATCGGGGCACCTATGTGGCACAGTGAAACTCCCTAGGGCACAATCGATTCTCGGTTAGGTAAGGGAATTCCGGGTATCTTTGCCTAAGACATTCTCTCACCCAAGGGTCGAAGTACTCCGAGCCCCAGGAGCTCGACATCTTATCATTGCGGTGTGATGGAATTCTTCCACACGCATCTAACCGGCAAGGGGATTTTCCGATGTGATATCGGAAACTCCTATCAGTTTAGGTGCGTCGGGGGGGGGGAAGGAAAATTTCCGCATACTTGATATCGAAGGTGTCAAGCTCGTTAATGGTCGCGAATCGGCGCGCGTGGATACGTGTAGGCTGCACAGATCATATCGCGCTTACACGCATCCCCGCGAGGTATTCGCTTGTTTCTGGACAAACAACTACCCAATTATCTAATCACTCCGTGATCCCGCACACAATTATTCCTGAGCATGCAAGGTGCTATCAGGCATCACACCAACAACAGTGGATCAAAAAGGATAAACAGCAATGGAAGCAATCATGACAACTACGCAAAAGTTTCTACTATTCTTATGAGTGTATCAAAATGGCAAGCAAAGGCAGGGACCAAACAAAAGAAAACCAACAGACATACCATCCATTCATTCAACAAAACACACCATAATCGAGATCAAGATCAGTCGCAAAACGAGTGTAGGCTGAAACAGAGGCAAGGATTCCGAGGACAAAAGAAAACGGGCAAGTCGCCCTGAGCCGAGATCAAAATTTATATACAAAAGCAAGGAGGGAGACAAGACAAAAAAACTTGCAAATCCACGTCCATCAACCTCTGCTCTCCCTCTCTCTCTCCCTCCGATGCGGACAGTCCGTCGTCACATACCAACCCACGAAGTCGTCAGCCCGCTTAGTCCTCCCGCACCCGTCAGGTTCGCCCGCGCCCACAGTCCGTCGTGGCCCGTGTCATCCCCGCGCGTTTGGCACCAGCTCGTCGGGTCGCCCGACTCCAACTCACCTCTTACTTCGCTCGCGAGCCGACCCTCACTGACCGCGCTCCCCGAGCTTCCAACAACTGGTTAAGAGAGCTAGGTAATCCCGCAGCCGAAATTAATAGCGTGCATGCATGCACAAAGAACACGGAATTGCAAGGACTTAGAAAGGAGATTAGGAGAGAAAGCGCCTACGTTCTGCGGGCCAGACTGCGGCGTGGGGGACGTAGCCACTCTCCACGCATCGATCCGATCATGCAGGCCGCGGGCTGACTAGCCACAAAAAAAGGAAAGACAGGGCGGGAAAGACGAAGCTCAAGAAGAAAGATACAGTTACAATGGCGCCCGCCCAAAATTACAGTTACTTGCAAGATTAAAGGCGCCGACTAATCAGAGCTCCGTTGTAGCCGCAAAAAGAAGCGCGCAAGAAAGACAGTGCGCGGCAAAAGAAATCCCGAATTCCTAAATTCCTAAATTCCGAGCTGATGCAAAAAGAAACACAATTTCCGAAAAGAAAATCCGAAGTTCCGAGAGCCGTCAAGGGCTCGACAAGATTCGAAAAAGAAATTAAAAAAGAATGAAGCAAAATTCCCGTGCGATTCCCGCGCCTTAAATCCGACAACAGAACAGAAAAGAGGCGACATCAACCATTCGGCGCGACAGCCACTCAATCAATCATCCCGGGACCTGCCCGGCCCTGAACCCAGCCGTCCAAAAAGAAGCGATGCAAAAAGACGAAGAAGCGAGGACACCGATGCAATTTTCCTTCCGATCCCGATCTCCCGTAATTGGCCCATCCTTCTCATCTTAGGACCCCTCATTGTTATCGCGCAGAAAATCACGCAGAACAGAAAGTGGTTCGTCACAGCCCCGGTATCTCCATTTTCGAAGTC